AGAAGAACACAAAACCAAGTAACTTTAGCCTCTGGTGAAGCAAACTCACCAGAAATCTGAAATGTAAAAAAAAAAAAAAAAAAAAAAAAAAAAAAAAAAAAAAAAAACTTAAAGTAGACCGAAAGATTTTTATCTGTAAAATAGTTTGAAGAATTTGCTAAATTTGTCAAAACACTTTGCATAAACCCTGTTTAACAGCTGTATCAAAGATTCTAAGAAACACAATGCAGATCTAGAAAGGTTAGTCTTGGTATTTGCAATTAATAACATTAACTATTAAAGATACAAAATGCATATAAAGTCTTTAGCAGTGGTTCTCAAGCTTCCTAATGCTACAACCCTTTAATATAGTTCCTCATGCTGTGGTGACCCACAACCAAAAAACTATTTTTGTTGCTACTTTAAAATTGTAACTTTGCTGTTATTGAACTGCAACATAAATATTTTGTGTTTTCCAACAGTATTAGGCTACCCATAAAAGGGCTATTCAATACCCCCCCAAGGGGTTGTGATTCACAGGTTGAGGGGCACTGCTTTGGAGAATGATGCCAAAATATACTTTTCCCTATCAGTTTGGGTTATAAACCAGTTAAGCCCCTCCCCCTTTTTTTTGGTTCACTGACACAGGGTTTCTCTGTAGCCTTGGAGCATGTCCAGTTACTAACTCAAGGAACTAAGTTCAAGGTAGCCCAGGGCTGGCCTTGAACTCAGAGATCCAAGCCTGTCTCTGCCTCATGAGTGCTAGGATTAAGCATGTGCCAACACCTCTAGGCTTTGTTTTATGTTTTGGTTCTGCTAAGCTGTTTAAAACAAGAGAACACTGCCTAACCTTTCACCAAACGGGACTTGCCAATCATTTTAAATGCCACCTATTAAAAACATCCTTTATTGGGGGGGGGGGGGAGTGGTGCCACACACCTTTGATCCCAGCACTTGGTGAGTTCGAGGCCAGCCTGGTCTACAAATAAGAATTCCAGGACAGTCAGGACTGTTACAATGAGAAACTGTCTTGAAAAACCAGGGGAAAAAATCCTTTACATCAAAACTGACTATATCAGATGAGTGTCTCTTAAAATTCAGTTGTTTCCAAAAATCTTATATAGCCTAAGGCCTAGATCTGTACTGAAAGGAAAGTAGTAAGTCCCTCAACTCAGTATTATTTGTACTGTTTCAAATTTCTAAGGTTTTTACATCTGATTCTCTATATTATAGTTGTTATTTTTTTGTTCAACATTGATATACTTTTTATTTGCCCAAACTTCAAAAATGACCAACCCATTTTTACTAGGCTGAATTGTATCTCACCAATGGTTAAGCCTGCATTCTCACTGGATAGAGGATGCAGTATGAACAAGAAAGAAACAAATTCAAGTTGCTAAACTTAAAAAATATGGTTATTAGAGTTTCTAAAGAAGTATTAAAACTGATTCATAGTTACATTACAAACACCAAATGCTCAGTCCTACCAGCACTGGGGAGGCAGGGAGGATCTCTGTGAGGCCAACCTGATCTACATAAAGTTCCAGAACAGCCAAGGCTACACAGAGAAGCCCTGTCTCAAAAAGTCAGTCCTATTGAAAACCTCTCACAGGACAAATCATCCAGTAAAACAAGATGTGCTTATATTACCACAAAATCCAATGCCTTGAGCATCTCTCCAAAAGTAAATGTAGTTTCAAGCCACATCAACAGTCTAGTGAGCAGCTCAACCTGTGGTCTATAATCTTTTCATTGATTTTCTGAAAACAGCAAAAAATGATACAGAACATGTTTATGTAATTTTGTTGTTTGCTACATCATCTGAAGACAGTATTATCTGGGTCAATATTCTTTTTTAACAATAATTGTATTACTCTCTTTTTTTGAGACAGGGTTTCGATGTGTACCCTAGCTGTCCTGGAACTCTCTATAGACCAGGCTGGTCTCAGAGATCTGTCTGCCTCTGTTTCCTGAGTGCTGGGATTAAAGGCAAGCAACACCACCACCTAGGTGATAGCAACATTACTCTCACCTAAGCTGGGGGGAATTAAAATTTTTTATAACTAAACACAAGTGGCTAGTCATGTGTGGCAAGTCCCCATAGGGCTAATAACCTAGATTTCTGTATCAAATACCCTTAAGCACCTCACAGATACAATGGCTGCTACTCAGCACTGTTTTTAAACGAACATATTTAAGGATTTTACAGACATTAACATCTATACTTACAATATTACACCATTAAAGCTCATGTTGGTTCCTGTACCAGAAGAAATCCAGAAATTCCAAAATTTAAAGCTTTGGAGCATCAGCCAATAGTATTGTTTAAGACATTAGGAAATTTTAAAGACAACAAGGTAGACTAAATTTCACAGGGTGGCAAAAACTCACACAGCAAATATCAAAAAATGCTGACATGCAATTCCATATTTGAATCTAGCTTATGATGCTTTCACTATTTTAAAACATTTCTCCAATTACTAAGAAAATACTTGTTTATCAAAATAATTATCAAAAAAGCTTGATATCTCAAATTAATGTGTATTCTCAATTTCAAAAAGTCTGGAAAATTAAATTTTTTAAAAAAGTAAAAATCTTCAAGACTGAGACAGAAAAGTAGCAAAGGAGAATGTTTCAAACTCACCAAAACTGGGAATGTCAGTAGATAAGCATTAACACCTAGCAAGACTCAAAATATCCTGTTTTTTTTTCCAGCTTCCTACAGCTCAGATTTTAGTCAATATTCCTCTCAGTCCTATCCTGTGACTGACTAAATGAAAATCTTCATGGGAATTTTATAAAATTGGAAGCCTACTAAAAACCGGCAGACATAAGTTGTCAAAGTTACATTTTCCTTCAGGTAAAAGGGCAAGTTAGTATAATAGTCCCGAGTGTAATTACCTACCCATCTGTTTGTCCCTTTCCACTACTTTTCTTAAGGTAGAGATTCACTTCTACTGAGACCCTTCATCTAAACCCTGTCCTGCACTAGACAAAAGGCCCATTTAGACTTAAGTAATCTCACCGTGTGGCCCAGAATGGCTAAATATTAAAGCCAAAAACAGAGTGGGTGTGGCTCGATTATTTTGAGGGGGGAGGCTAGGCGGGGCGGCCGCTTGGTCTCTGCCCTCCCCCTCTGCTTTCGCTTTGTGCTCACAATGCAGCTCCTGTACAGCGCTTCCCTTTCCCGCAGCCGCCGCCATGTTAGACACTCCATGTGCCCAGAGACCCAGAGAGGCAGTCTCCAGGCTCTCTAATCTAGATCCACCCCTAGAAGGCTCGAAACCGAAGAAGCCCCCCTGCTCCTTTAGAATGCTGCTGCATAAAAAAAATAAATTTAAAAAATCGCAACAAAAAAAAGAAAAAAAACCTCGTGACTAGGCTGGGCGTGAGGTTCGGAGCACCCAGACAATCGAAACAAAGGGGGGGAGACGTAGGAAGCCCATTGGAAGGGAGCAGAGGTACCCAAGCGAAACCACGCTCCAAGGGGACCTACGGGGACTGGAACCCTAGTTCAGGACTAGACACACACATCTCTCGCTGGGAAGCGGGGCCAGAGCCATTCCACTGGCCTCGAGCCGTGGCCAGAGGCAAACGCTACTGCTACAGGGCATGAGCCTCTCAACTCCACGAGGCAATTAGCCGACCAGGCACGCTGCTTCTTCCCCAGGGCCTCCGTCAGACGTCCGGCCTCGGTTTCGGAAGATGTTACAGCAATGGGTCCCACCGCCTAGGGAGCCCGTTACCGGGAGGTAGGCCCGACACGGCGTGATGGGAGTAACCGAGGCCTAGAGGCAGCGCCGCGCTCGGGTCAGGTGACAGACACCTCCCCAAGGCGCCCGTTTTCTGGGCACGAAGCTCCGTCCACCGGGGAGCCAGGCGTGGGGCTGGAGCCACAAGCCCTCCCTCTCCGTTACAGCCTCGCACCTTTTTCTTCTCCAGGTTCCGAAGTTTCTTGTCGATCACCCCAAGAATCTGCTTCATGGCCTCCGTCTGAACCGCA